AGACTAATGGGTGTTTTCGCTTTGTTTACATCTCAGTTTAGGTTTGGTATTTCGATCAATTAGCTCTGCTTTAACAGGAAAGCCATTGTACAAAAGGCTAACTAGGATTACCAACAGCTGTGTGTGTGTGCGTGTGTGTGTGTCCCTCAAAGGGAGTTGGCCCTCAGACCTTCTTGGTGTGGTTAAGGTGGCGACAGTGGTCAAAGAGCTCAGATCTCTGCCCCCCTCCTCCTCCTTGTTTACCCTCCCGCAACTAGATTTGATTATACTGCAGATGCTTTCATGTCCGTTGAATCACGCTTTAATGACTCACACAGGAAGAGACGCGGCGATGTCTCGCCAAACAATTAACGGCGGAGCGCAGCGGCGGGTCGCCCCTAATGTGCGGGCAGCATGCGCCGGAGGAAGCTGCCCTCATCCATCGCTTTTCTCCTAAATTGTGAATCAGTTGCTCATGAGTTTTGGTTGCTGAGCTTAATCGCAATTCAGTGTGTGTGACTGGTCATGCGCGTGTGTGTGTGTGTGTGTGTGTGTGTGTGTGTGTGTGTTTGTGTGTCACTATGTCTCCAGGTTATACATCTGGGAGTTACGGCGAGCCGTTAGCTGTGAGGAAAGCACCCGGGATCAGAAGCGCCCCCCCCCCCCCAACCACCCCCACCCTGGCAATGCTACACCTGTAGGCCTTTCTTTGAAAGACACCCATCTCCATTTTCAAACATCAAAGTTGCCTTTTGAGAGAGCAATTCGCACAGAGGGCGAGCCTTTCATGTGATTTGTGGAGCGCGGGCGTGGCCCCTGGTGGGGCGGGGGGGAGGGGGGGCGACTTAAGAGATGGACGCACCTGGCAGGTTTATGAGCCTGCACACGCGCACGCTAATGCATGCATACGCGGCAACGCGCACGCTCTATTTTTTTGTTGTTTACTTTACTGAGAGACTGCAATATCGCAGGAAAATAACACAGCAAATGTCATTGTTTGTCTATTTGCATACTTTGTACAGTCTGTGTGCCAAATGCAAATAGAATCAACCCGCCAACTCCAACATGTGCAGCCCCGACTACTCCACCCACACCCCTCCCGCCCACGCCCACGCCGCCATTCTCCTCGTGGAGCTCCGTGAACACACCCAGCCGAACAAATAGAGGCCACAGAACACGACAGCGCTTGATTTGGAGGTGGGGGTGTGTGTGGGGGGGGGTGAGGGGATGCATGTATTGCATGTACACTGTATAATTGTGTCAGCGGTCCGGGTAAATACGAATCGCCGCTCTGACCCGACTACAGCCGGCTTCAACATCCTTGACGTTCAGCAAACAACCGTCTCTGTTTCTTTGAGCTGCCCGACTACCAGAACAAATGTGTGCAAATGAGGCCGTTTTTCCAGATAAAGTATGAATACCTACCAAAATCCCTTGGACAATTCGACTTGTTGTCTAACCGGATAAAAACGATTTTGCTTTCTAATTGCCTGATCAGTTTCAGCCTCACAGACACGCGCACGGGCTCGAGCACAGAGGGTTGATTTTCACACACTGATAACAGCTTTGAATCTGCACACAGATATTATTTTATTATATTACTTATTACCTGTGCACTTATTTCTATCTTAAGGTCTACACATCTGCACCTCTAAATTTGGCAATATATATATTTTTAGTACTAATTATTTTGTTCACCCCGGACACACACACACACACACACACACACACACACACACACACACACACACACACACACGCATTGTGTAAATTATTCCTGAACGTTATCTCACAAGCTCAAAGTATTTATAGCACCGCATTTGGTCTGTGTGGCCCGGCCCGACCCCGGATGGGTTCATCTTTTCTTTCTAATTCAGTTCAGGTCAAGAGATACGGAAATACAAACGGAAACTCCCTCCCGTACCCGCCCTCGGAGAAATAGGTAGAGGCTGATGTCATATGTAAGTGAGAAGAGCACCAAAAATATAGTTGTTGAGCGTAACACTGCAGGGTGCACGTAGTGTGCGATGAACAGGGAGGGTCTCGACACCTTTTCTTATGCTGTCTTTTTAGCCTCCCTCTCTCTCTCTCTCTCTCTCTCGGAAGAGCGGAAGAGTTTTCAGTTGCAACAGTCGTGTTACCAGTTTGGTTTCAGCTGAAGTTTGATAATATAGTATGACTGATACATAGGGAGGAGGGGTGGGGGGGTGGTGACGAAGGCCGGATGCATGATGAGGAAATTAGCAGCAAGGGAGACAAAAATACTTTTGCAGAACGTTTAGCCAACTCTCTGTTGAGGAACAGAATGCTCTCTGTGGCTGTTCGTATCCGTGTCGATATAAGTGTTTGTGGTGTTTGTGGCCATGTGATTATACATTAGTGATCAGTGTACACATTATACCTGTGTGTGTGTGTGTGTGTGTGTGTTTCCCAAAGGCACAGTGTCTTTTGTTACTTTTCCCCCCCGGCGAGCTGTCACCGCAGTCCTGTCCGTCAGGTTCTCCTGACTGGTTCTGTAAACACTAATAACCCCCCCCCCCACGCCCCCTTCCCCTCCCGGTGTGCCAACTCCCGCCGCGGCTCGGCTGGCACCCGTGCAACTGCAGGGCCCTGTACAAACAGCCCCTACGGCCCCGCGGCCCGCCGGCGCGCAGGTGATCGCGGCGCGGCCAAGTCTGCACTGTGCAGCACCGGTGGCGATCAAAGCAGAGTACACAAGAGTGTACTCTGCAGAGTACACCGTCTGAGGATGAGATTTGTAATGAACAAAAAAAAAATTGCTATTAGTTGTGTTGGCAAAAGCGTTGGCCGTCTGCTTTGGCTCTAAGCGGCATGCAGCCAATGTAACGTGGTGCCCTGTGGTAAGAGAAGAATCGGATTGGTTTTATGGCTGTAATGACGTATGAATGGTAGTGCGTGCCGGAACACGACCGGTATTAAGACTCGTAGAATGCGCCTCTTGTTTTAAATGTAAGAGGTCCTTTATCTCGTCCCACTCGGAGGCACTGGGTTGAACTAAAAGCTCATCTCCACCTCAGACCTGGAAGCCCATTCAAATAAAATAAAAAAAACATTTGTTGAGTTATATGAATGCCCTTATTCTATTAACTGTGATCAGCTGTTTTAGCTTTTAGCTGGTGGAGGCGTGGATCGGTTTTCACTGCAGGGTAAACTGGAAGTATTATTCATACTTCAGATAAGCTTCCGATCGTGTCAGCCATCTTAACGTTTGCACAAAACAAACACCCTCTGGTTCCTGGGGGTTCAGCTGAAGGAGCTTCAACTCCATATTGATACATATTGAAAAGAAAGGGAATATTCATAAATCGCCCTTTGCAGAAGCTCCGTCACCGTCGTTCTACGAAATCCCTCTCAGCACCGAGCAGCAGAGTTTAATGGAGCCCTAAATTCCTCCTGCCCTATATTAAACAGTGTCACTTTATAGCACCCAGCGCCAGTGTAAAAGTAGCACGGCCACGCTGACGCCTCAGCTGGAGCTGCAACATGTTGACAGACAGGAGACAACCTTGATGTGCGTGTGTTATTTTAAAGCTAAGGCCCCTCGCAGATGCACACGAGAATGCATTCATGCGTTGAGCTTCTTTTTAACAAAAGTCGATCAAATTGAAGCCGTCCGCGCACACACACACACACACACGTAGGGTGTTTATAACACCCCCCGCCCACCTCCTTTGGGGTCACTGTTGTCCTTTAATGCTTCTGCAAATAGCGTCTAGGCTGGCGGGGGGGGGAGGTGGGTCGATGCCCCTCTTTCTTTGCCCCTCCCCTTCCTCTATGCCATTTATACCCCGCCCAGATCCTCACGTGGCTTTCGCTACCACTCTCTCTTCCCCTGCTGTGGTCTGTTTTAACTAGGCTAAATCCACCCTGTCACGAATGCCCCCCCCCTCTGCACAAGCCCCCGCCGCCCGCCCGTCCAGAGAACCCCACAAACCCCTTGCACCCGATAACCTTTACAAACTCCATCCTTCATGAACCCCACCCATACCCGGCCTCGAGCGCTCACACGGCTCCCCGCCTCAAAAAGGAAGCAACAGCGCTCCCCGCCATCCCTTCACACATTTAACCACGTAAGAATGGAGCCGCCGCCGAGTGGCGGGGGCGCTAACAGCTTTAGTGCGGCGCGGCCTCACTGGCGGGCCGAGTCTTGCCCTCTGTGAAATCGACCAGCCACTTATGCGGTCGGTCAGGTAGCTTGACCCCCCTATGAAGGGCAGAGGGTAAGGAGGGGCGTGGGGGGGGGGGGGGGCTACTGAACGGAACCACCTGCGGCTTGGAGACCCACTCAACTCCTCTTAATGGTCTTGGGTTATGCCTTAAAAAGCTTTACAGTTTTCTCAAAATGTGCCGGTCAACGGGCCCCTGCTGCGCACACACACACACACACACAAAAACAAAAACACCTGCACTAATATACTCGTGAGGACAATGCACTCCTGCAGACATAACCATAACCGCTACATGCCTAAACCCGAGTCCTTATTTGTAATCTTAACCCCAAAACCAAGTCTTAACCCCAAAAATATATCAAGTGGAAACCCCATTTTGGCACATGTGGATCGTGTGAACAGATTTTTTTTTTTACCTCTTTGGTGTGATGAATGCAAAACACATTACACACACACACACACACACACACACACACACACACACACACACACACACACACACGCCTACACAGAGACAGCTTGCAGAGTGACTTTAATGTGCAATCTGCATATGACTCGTTGGGTTGTTTTACCATATAGATATAAAACACACACACGCGCGCGCGCACGCACACGCACACGCACACACACACACACACATACACACACACACACACACACACACACACACACACACGCACGCACACACTCTCTTTCAGGACGAGGTGTATCTGCTCCTAACTGGTGGGCCTGCGACATTCTCATCACACCACAATGCGCTTTTAGTCGGAACAATGCGCGTGTGCGTGTGTCCGCGGGGGCGGGCGACCGGGCGCGTGTACGTGTACTCACTGCGCGGTTCTCGGGGTCCGTCCACGGTGACTTTGATGGCGCGGTGGTAGGTGGCCACTTGCGGCGGTCCGGTGAACACGGTGATGGTCAGCGTGAAGCTTTTTCCTGCAACACAGCGAGACGCGTCCACGAGGTTCAATGCGGGAGCTGCACGCTGCAAACGGCCCCTTTTCAATTATACACCAACTTTTTGTTTGTCTCTTATTGGACGCAACAATACCTCGCTTGTTCAACCTCAAACCCCCACCGGCCTTTGTCCCGCTGCAGAGAAAAGGACCACCTCTCCTAAAAGGCGCGTATGATTTCGATTTTTCGGTTTTTAGCGCAAATGGTTCATCGTCGGAGCGAAGGGGCAAGACGGAGTTTGACATTAAAACATCTCATGTAATTTAGCTGACGCTTTTATCCAGAGCGACTTACATTGAATTTTTTTTTTTGCATTTTTCCTGGGGGGCAATTTGGGGTTAGGTGCCTTGCTCAGAGGCCAGGGCTCGAACCGCCAACCTAGCGGCTCCCAGCGCACCCTACTTTAAAACGAGACTACGTGGGAGGAAAGAAGAATCCTCGAGTGGCGTTCTTAACTAAATAAATTAAGAGTAAAGGCCACATTTCTATTTTCTATTTGGAGACCCCTTCATAAAAATCACAGCTGTGTTATTATTTAAATTAAGTATGAACTGTCAGAAGAGGCTCCCATTTCAGGCAAAAAAATTAAATAAAAATACGAATATACTGAATATAAATATATTATATATTCAATATAACAATATTTTTGCATATGCATTAACCACAACACTCCGTCCAGCAGGCCTGTTATTGTGTGTTTTGTTTTTAAATACAAAATAGCCGTGAAGAATATTGCGTTTCAGAGGCTTTTGGGTGCTGGGGATTATTTGACTCGTCGCAGGAGCTGAATGTTTTTGTTTTTTCAATCCATCCGTGAGATTGCCACCACGTGGATAACCATTTATTTCCCCCTGGATTCAGAAAGTCACATCACAAATGTTCACCGTGACGCAGGCCAGATGTTTCGGACGTTGGCAAAGCGAGGGGGCACCACAGCCCCACCGGAGACTAAATGATTCCAGATCGGAACGTTAAAAAATATATATATTTATAATGGACAACAGGGATACCGATAGTTTAAACATCTCGTGTCACAGACGCTTTAAATGTTGTCATATTCATGAAGAAATAATAACGCGCTATCAGCTGTCAGCTCTCCACTTACACATATGATCCAATACATTATTATAATCGCGTTTCCAAATAGTGCTGCCGATGGCATTACAGCCGTTCTTTCACTGTGTGTGTGTGTGTTTGCGCGCGCGCGTTGGTGTGAGCGTGTGTGTGTGTGTCTGTGTGAGTTTCAGCTCACCTCGTCCGCTTCTGCCCACGAAACGCAGGTCGTTAAAGCGGGCCACCTGGTTCTTCATCACGGCGGAGGCGTTCCTCAGCTCGGCCGAGTAGTTCTCGTCGTTCCCGGCCATGACGGTGACCAGAGTCCCGTCCGGAACATCCCCGAGAGCCACGACCTGCACAGGAGAACGCGGGCGGTTACTATGGGCCACCGAACCGAACCGAACACACACATGCGCGCGTAAAACCGCATCTGACTCCCATAATATTGAGCAGGACATTTCACATGTTTCTCTAACCCAGCACAACATTACATCAATAATTTTAAATGCAGGATTTAGAAACCCCCCGATAAATTACATTTAAAATTATATTATAAAATGCGGATAATATGTGCCTTATTGTACCACTGCAATGTTTGTCCTCGCGTTCTTCGGATCTGATCCAAATACATGTTTTTGATGATTTGTAGTTTTAATATTAACAAGAGGCCAGACTATAAATCAGCAATAATACAAAAATATACTAATAAATAAATGGAGTAGGTATGATTGCTCAGTCGTGTTTTAATTTCAGACCTCTCATATATATTCAATTCTATTAAAGATGCTATAATTCTGGTTGGAGCCGCTGGAAGGCCATAACAGCAACACCTATTGAATAACAATAATCTGTTGAATAATTTTGTATTCTACACAAAAGTAAAAAATAACAGATGCGCACTATTAATAAACGCAAAACTGAAGGTAAACTATTTTATTCAATATAATGTATTTGCTTCATGTTATTTGTTAGTTTATTGTCTGGCACTATCCACAGTCAGAAAACCACAGGCCGCGTCATCCGAATAAAAATATAATGAAGTGAAATTAGAAGCCACGTGTCTTGCCTTGAACGCCACGGGGAGCGTCTTGTTGCACCTCCAGTGAGACGGCAGGACGGAGCAGAGGAAGTTGGGGCTGTCGGTCCTGACCAGCTCGCCGGCGTGGTCCGCCAGGACGTCCACCACGTTCCTGGTGTCGGATCTTGACCTCAGGGGCCCCGGGGTGGCCATGGCCCCGTTGCCGTCTCCGAGCTTACAGGGGAAGGAGGTGGAGGGCGGCGTGAACCGTCTGGTGGTGGGCGGCTCTACGGGAATATGCATCACAACAGTCTGGGTCAGTGCCACCTGGCCGGGTCGTATGAGAACAGAAGGACTCCTTTTTTTGGGGGGGGGGGAGACCCAGTTGTTGTTCTCTCTTCTTCTTCTCCTTCTTCTTCTTTTTCTTCTTTGCCTCCGGACGCTGGTGGCCTCAGGAGTCCACCGTGTGAGCGCAAAAGGATGGAGGCGAAAGCGCGCCGAGTCTGAGGGACGGAGAGCCTCGCGACTTTAACAGCAAACAACGAGGTGTTGATGACTGAGCACTAGATCACCTGCACAGGATGTGACAGCCCGGGGAACACCAGGGCTGCTCTGTGTTACACTAACGTCAACAACAACAACAACATAAACCGGACGAACAAAATGTCTCTGGGTGCTGAACGCGTCTTATCCGTCGCACGCTTGAAGGACAGCTTCAGCCGCGTGGGGACAACAGATCAACACTGCCCGGGCTCTTGCTGCGCAATCTCAAATGAGTCAATGAAACTTCTAAATAGCTGATTGCCGGTCGGTGGCCGATCTGTCGGCGGTGATCGGGTAGTCCAGCCGCGTTGCAGAAAGTTCCACAATCCAGTCAATTGTTTTTTTGTTTTTGTTTTTTTTATAAAAGAGTGATAAAGAACCGCTTCAGCAGCCAAACGTCACCAGACCGCGTCTTCAGATCTCCTCGCACACGTCTGCAGGAGGCGAGGGGAGGTAGGGGGGGGGGGGCAAAAACAGAAAAAGCGCAAAACAAAATGTGTCATGCCCGAATATCTGGAGCCATGCAACACGTCAGTGTCCCTTCTTTCTTTTGTTCTTGCAACTTTATCCTCGGCGGGTCTCTTCCCTCCCCGCAAAAGCCCACGTCACCCCGGTTACAAGGGGGGAGATATCCCGTCGCTCCAGCTGAAACGTCCCCTCAAAAAGTTATCCTTGAGCGCGAGCAGGAGCCGCGAGGCTGGACGCAGTGCAGAGTGCCGCGATATTATTTCACCCGAGTCATTTTAGCGCGTGGTGGTTGGGAGCGCGCAGGGGATTTCCGCCAATGAGCGCGCGGGGCTGGACTTTCAGCGGGCCAATCAGACTCCCCGCTGCTCCTTCCCCGAGCCTTGCGCTGTTGTCACGCGCGCGCGCACACACACACACACGCGCGCGCACACCCACACAAGCTCACACACACACGCGATCTGAATTATTGATACATATCTGTGCTTTTCTCTGTGCTCTCTTTATTTGTTCTTTTAGACCAACATTAACGCGATGCAGACCGAACGTAGGAGACAGTGAGTTAAAATAAGTGACACGCTTTATATAAATATATTTTTTATATCTTTTCAGAGCTGCGCGACATTTTTTTTTAATTATAGTAATACCATGTTTAATTATAGTTAATACCACAGGGTTCGTATATAAACACATGTAATGAGTTAGATATTCAAAGTGATGGATTAAGATGTAAAACAATTGTGAGGTTTAATGGATAAAACGATGAATAACGTGCACTTTTATCCCTGACACGTTTTTCCCGGAGCGGTTTATAATGTATCTGAGGGAGGCTTTACACCGCAAAGGCCCCGTGGTTTTACTCATTTATTCCTTTTTGAAAATCTAATACATCTCCTACTCCTCCTCTGCAGGTGAATAACACTTTCATCAAGTGAAGTTGGGTACAAGACAGATTTCTATCATTTTAAACGTCTGGGCTGAATTAACAAGAGAGGTAAAGAAAAAAGTGCGCATTTCCTCTCCATCAGACGGGCCCGACTGTTCATTAACGGCTCCGTGTGTGGGTGTGTGCGTGCGTGCGTGCGCGCGGGCGAGCCAGAGGCTGAATTCATTAGAACTCTTAAATGGTATGAACGTCACATCAGATGATGGCACGCCCTGCAGACCCCCCCCCCCACCTCCTGTCATGCTGCTTTCGGACACTAGTTGGCGCATTTGCCTTTTCAATTGTCAGCTCGCTGTGAGGCGCGCGCGCGCCTCTCATGTGCAGAGCAAAAGGAAACTTTAATCTGTGCTCCGAGGGACATCCGAATTAATGCAGATCTAGCGAGTCAAAGTAACACCCTCTGTGGGGCATTTACGTTTTCAATAGAAACCACGGGGACATGCCCCCCCCCCCCTCACCCCTGCATTTTATAATTATTTTTTTCCTGATTGTCTGCAATGTTGTTGATGAATGAAATATCATGAATACTCTGACATTTATTCGTTAAAAAATCGCTCGCTGAAGCCGCGCGATGGACCGAGATGGACCAACATGTCCGTTTGAATTTAGTGGATTAACTTTATTGAATATTCTGCCGACGATCCAATGTGTTTTAAAACCGTCCGCGTCGGATTTGGCGAGCACCGACGGAGTTATTTATTGATTAGGATATGACATTTTTTATGAACGATTTTGCGATATAACTGCTACACAAATTAATTTTGAAATTCCTAAATTAAAACAAACAATTTAAATGGTAAAACGCGATAAAAATAACTAGATATTTAAATTGAATTACACAAAGAGGGCAATTGACGTCAATAGAAATATTCAATAAGTTCTGGATTTTTCGTTGAAGCGCATATTACAATGGATCCAATCAATCGACGTTTGATGTTTAACTATACATGCCGCGGTTTTTAAGTTGTTTACTTGTATGAGAATAAATGACGTGCAGTTAAGTGGCACGAAGAGTCATCCGAGTGCCTCTCGTTGTCCCTTAATTTTACATTCACATTAATGGGAGTTAAGAGAGACAGTTTCAGAAATAAAATTTTCATAATTAGCAGTTTATGTTGGATCAAACTGGGATCAAACTTGGCCACAAACCTCCTACTGTCATTAACTTAAAAGCAGATTTTATAAAAAAAATATCAGAACTATAAAAAGAAGGCCAATTGTGCAGCTCTCATAATGTCATTTTTGTGTAATTTAATCTTCAGTGCCTCTTTTTGGGTGTTACTCTCTGACCCTCTTACTTGGCAGTTGTTGTTTAGCTTGGTGATCCAGGACAGTGGTTCAGTAGCGTGTCAGGGACACATTAAAAAATAATCTCTATCTTACTCCCCCGAGGTCATATCAAGAATCGTGTGATTTCAGTGTTGACGACGACAGGACTCTGCAAGAATGACCCCATTGCCGGATGATTATAGTTTGCTTTTTTTTACCTAAAAATGTCAGGGAACCCCAAATGCCTCGTGCGTCTCAGTTGAACTCTAATCTCTCAGCCCCAGCTGCACATCACATCTGATCACATCACCGGATCACCTATCACAAGGCCTCTATTTAGAGTGCAGCTGGATTGGGACAATGACGATGCCGGTGATATTTTAGTCGCCCTGCTGCCCGAGTTCATTATTAATATGTGACCGCCTTCCTCAGACGTAATGGGTGCTCGGGGCGCCTGCCTGTCACATTTAGACCTCCGCCTTTCAACATGCAGTTTCTACGGTTTCAGCCGCACCGGCATCCAGGACGGAGCCCACCGTGCCCCTGAACGATTTTTAATGATCCGCGTGGGTTGAGCCTGAAATCAAGACAGAACTTGTGGAGGACATGTGAAACCCGGACCCACCTCAAATGGGCCTCGGCGTATAGGATTCGTACTATTGAAGGTTAAAAAGAAAATGAATCCTGCGGATAGAAATGAAGACATCACATAATTGTTAAGTGAAAACTTGTGAGAGAGAAAGAGGGAGAGAGAGAGAGAGAGAGAGAGGAGGTCCATGTGGTCCTGGGCCTTAATAGTAATGGCCGCCCATAACCAGGAAGGGTTCCCTTAGAATATGGTTTCGTTGGCTCTAAAAACACAGCAAAGCAGCTTAAACGGTTCTCAATCGCATTTGAAGAAAAAGTTGAAAAAGGAAGCTTAGTTCACGCTTCCCCGGAGTCCTTGAAAAGAAGTAGTGCGGGCGTTACGACTCACATCGTGGACACTAACGTGAGCGCGACCCCCATTAGCAGAGCAACCGGTGCTGAGCCTTTGGGGCGCGTAAACGTGTACCTGTAAATGCCACCCACGCGGCTTTCAGTGCCGCTTAAATGAAAGTCCCTTTGAGGATGGCGACAGTCTCGGATACGCGGCGATGCTTTTTTCCTGTTTTCCTTTTTCTTTTTTTTTTACTGAATCTGATCTATTAGCCTGCGTAAACTCCCGGGCTATTTTCAGCCGCGCTCACGTAAGCCTTTGGATGGGTAGCTATTCATTTGGAAAAGGGGGCTACGGGGGCAATTAGATATAGTTTGAGGTTCAGCGATGACATAAGACAACGATTTCTATCTTTAGAGGAGCTGTGGCGGTCGCACATTTCTGTACATTCACAAATTACAGGGCAAGCTCTGGCCCTCAACCCGCCGAATGCATTCCTTCCGAAAAGTGTCTGCTCGAATTTCAGCCGGGGGTTTCTGCTCGGTGGAAATATGAGTGTTGTGAATGGGCGACTTCTATGAAATGGAGTTTTATTCCTCTCGGATTAAATTAGCTCTACTTTGGGGCTTGGGGTATTTTTTTGTATGAATGATGAATTCTGCGGTGGCTGTGGAACGCCGGGCTTGTTTACCCTTCCCTCCTCTTTTTTTTTTTTTTTTGAGACGTAGCTCGCTATGAAATGAACTTTTTCTGCTTGATATGACAAGAGTGTCTGTGATTAGACTCCCCGGGCATGATGTAAGGCACCAAAGCCATTTGTGCCAGTCCCCTCAAAGCCAAATCATATTTTAGCATCGCAGTGTTTACATACACAAGTATACGGAGAAACTTTTAAACAACAGCCAGTGGGTACAGACTGTTTGGGTTGTTGGGCTCTCGCTGCTCTGATCGCTGATTCTTTCTCAAATTGTGATTACACAATGTGTCAGCACATCACAACTGGTGGTCATTTTCGTCCATTTTGATGTTCAGACAAGAAAATCGGAAACACATTGAACAATTTTGATCATCTGAATTTGTTATTTTTCTTCTTCACCAGTGCTGCCCGTGTTTGCTTTAATGATCAATGGAATGCGCTTGTGTAT